GGAACCCACTAGTAAATTGAATTAAAATAAATTTAACATGGATGTCAAGTTTGATGCCAAATCACAAAGTCTTCAAACCCAGTAAGCAAATAACACTTCGGTTGGAGAGACTTTTAATGTCAACTTTTCATAGTGGCATTCCATGTAGGATTTTAACATCCCCTTTCCAGATGCTCTAACACATCTCTCTCTCACGCCTCACTCCCTCTCTCCCTCATTCCACTAAATCGTTCACTTTCTTACATGACTTGTTAACTCGATCTAAATGACATGAATATAACAAGGTTTGAATCAACACGTCAACTAATCGAGTCACAATCGGATTACACGTTAATAACAGAGTTCTTAACAAGTTTACTTGCGAGTAACCTGTTTCAACCCATTAAGAAACAATTAGTTTAATAATTTTAAACTAAAAAATCATACTACAATAGTCACATTATTTTCAAAGCACGTAAGAAATACCAAAGCACATTAAAAATTCATAATAATTGATTTACAAGAGTGAAAAATGTGAAGAAAAAAAATATACAAATGCTCGCGATTACATCTACACTCGATGATGGGTACGTCATTGTTTGAATTTTTAAAACCCTACAAACCCTCATGAATAGTATTTTAGGGGAGTTCAAATAAATAAAAATTCATAATAATTAATGTTCAAGTGTGAAAAATGTGAAAGAATGTGCAAATGCTTTTGATTGCATCCTCTACGCTTAGCCGATAGTTACATCGTCATTTAGATTTTAAAAACGATCCAAACCTCATGAATAGTAATTTTTGTTTGAGTGCAAATAAATAAAAATTCATAATAATTAATGTAGAAGTGTAAAAAAATGTAAAAAGAAAAATACAATTACTCGTAGTGACAAACTTTACAAATTTCGTGAAGACGTCAACTCCATAATTCAACACCATAATCCATAAATCTAGGTTTATATTTAACGGTCAATTGTTGTTTATGTCCATTCTTCTTGCCGGATTTCGTTTTTCAGATTTCTTTTTTGAAAACATGATATTTTAGCTGATACGGAAAATAAACGGTTTGGATCGTTGATATCACATTTTGATTTTACAGTTAACTGAAATATGAGTCGATGATATGTAGTTTCTAGAGACTTTATGAACTCTGAGCAATATTGGATTCCTTTGTGAGAAAATTGGTTGTGAACGGCTCTGTATTAATTGTTTGAAATCTTCCAGCGAAAAATCCAGTTTTTGGCAAAACTACGGCTGACAGACAGTGAGAAGACCGAAGAAGAAAAGAGAACATTCTGTCAACTCTGACGACATATTCTCATACCGTTAGAATATAACTAATAACATGAGGTATATTCTGTCAATTTTAACGGCGACTACAACTCAGTCAAACTCAAATTCGACGCATGGCGGCTGTGGCAAGTGCGTGAGCTACTTCAAACCAATTTTCAATCATTTTAAATCTCGCTCTTGGGCAAACTAAGAGGAAATTAGGCTTATTACTTTAATTATTATTAGTTTTAATGATTAATGTAGTAATTTCTCAAATAAGAGAATAATACCTAAAGGAGTACCGCGTGCAGAATAAGCAGGTAGTTACGCCTTGTGACATATCAGTGAGTGGGTGTTTTTGCTTTACAAATATTATATATATGGTTTTCCTCGATAACTATTTTTGCATAACTGTTGTGACATGCCATGTTTTGCTTACAACTAGACTTTTCATACACTTTATGTTTATTATGTTAATTGTGAGCATAATCATGTGGCATGACATCTTTATATCATATCTACTCATTATACTGTGATTGCACCGATGTCTATTACTGTAATGGTCTGGGCGCAGGACGAGCACAAGTGTAGTTCACGATCGCCTTAGATCGAGAGGATGCATGGTTTTTTTTAAATAGCAGCACAAGGTCTTTTTATTTATAAAAACAAAATTTTCTAATAGCAGCATAAGGTTTATTTATTTATTAAGATCTAGAAGCCCCTTCAAACAAAAACTTAAACATGATTTAGTAACATAATACTAAATCTTAAGAGAGGTAACCAAATTAGTGCAAAACCTAGTGATGCCTCCCACGAGTTTACGAAAACTCAAATCATCACTTGCATGTAATTAACCTGTGCCCTAAATAATGAGAAATTTTTTCTTGTGACTAGAACACAGGTAGTATGTCACGTGTTTTTATATAAGTGGTGGGAATTTGTATTTTTTAAGTTATAAAATTTTTAACATACATATCCAACCATTTGTATAGTGACATGGGCTATACCACTCCCGGTCACATTGAAAAATCTATCCTAAATAATAGCAAAGTTGCCTTATTTACCATACTCTTCATAGCACTGAGCAGGAAGGCGCGGAGTGAGAAGGACTTCAAGTTGGGACGTTCTATGGTTGGTAAGTTCCATCGACTCACGCATGTCAACTGGCTAACCCATCTGAGTTGCAATTTCAAATCCATGAAGCAAAGAAGCGAGGATCAATGCCATAATCCTGAGGGCAAGCGCTATTCCGGCACACATTCTTCTTCCACTGCCAAATGGTATCAGTTCAAAATTCTGACCTTTAACATCCATGTCGCTGTGTGTTGTGAAAAATCATTCCGGTCGAAACTCATTGGGATCGGGCCAGACATTTGGGTCTCGATGAATCTTCCAAACGTTGACGAGAACGCGAGTCTTTGCTGGGATATGGTAGCCGGCTATGAAGCAATCTTCTGTCGATGCATAGGGCAATAAGGTTGGTCCGGAAGGGTATAAACGGAGAGTTTCTTTGATAACGGCTTAGAGATAGACCAGGTTGACGACGACTAATTCTTTTACTGCCCTCTCTGTGCTAATATTTTGGTCTATCTCTTCCTGGACCTTTTTAGGGTTTTAGGGCTTGGAGTTTCTATGATAATGCCACTGTCATCACATCTACACCTTGCTAAGGCACTTTCTAACAAATGAATCCTGTGTACTTATCAATAAAAGGAAATAGAATTTGTTGGATTAATGACGTGTACTGTGTACATGTCACGTTAATTAATGAATTTATACAGTATATAACTTTATTAATTGACGTGGCCATCTTTAAAGGGTATTCTCTCATAAAGCTATATACTGTATAAAGTATTATAGTTAAAAGTTAATTTCTTATTGTCTAAACTAATTGTTTCATATGAAACTAACTTGTATAAATAAACTAAATCAAACAAACTTTGACTAAAATCCGACCCCATTAACAAACAAGAAATAATAACCGCACACCATTCTTCTCTTCATAACACCATTCAATTCAAAACTATTCTTTAGTCATATCTATTTGATTTATTCAATCTGATGGTCAGAAATATAGATTCGGTGTGTAGTGGGAGAAAACAAAAATGAAAATTTAAACAATTAATGCTAAATTGCGCATACGTACCAGTGAGGTAGCTTTGTTGATAATGTCAGCTTCATAAGAATTGGTAACTTTAGCATCATCAAGAACTGAAAGCATCAAATCGATGAAGTCACGCTCCCCCTCATTACCTTTCACTCCACCAGAAATATTCCTCTTTTTCTTCTGCTTATGCTCTTCTAACCATCATTGAACCACTTGATCTACCTCCTTTGCTACCTTCCTCATGGTCTTCTCATGGCCACCGAAATCCAACCATCTCAAGAACGGAAGCGCGTCCGATACCACAAAAGTCTCATTCGTTCGAAGCCAATCTTTGAATACCTTTCTCCCTATCAAGTCTCCGTGGGTGTAATTTGCAGCTTCTGAAATTCGTTTCCCGAAAATCGTTCTAAATATCACGTTCTCGTTTATGTCCGCAAGCCAGTCTTTCATCTCTACCACCACGTTACCAGAACCACCACTCTTCTTGTTCTTCGTCCACCGGTTGTATATTTCTTTCATCGATGCACTCACTTCAGATTCTCTGAAGTGTTTGAGCATCTCGACGCAGTGGGGCGATAAGAGCTCAGCCATGACCATCTTTTGTACATGACTAAAGTAGTAGCCTAAGAGCTGAAAGGAAAGTAGGCATAGTTATAGCCCAAAATTTCTGAGGCTAAAGAGCTTACACGGCTAGCAAACACTTTGTCGTAGCTCTTTAAGCACTCCTTCGCCATTTCTGAGCTGCTCAAAACTAGGGTTCTCTTCACTCCGAGCATAAAAGTGAAGATCGGTCCATTCGTGTCCACCAATTGAGCTAACACCAAATGTAGTGATTCAGATGAACGTAATAATAAGGCTATGTGACCGATTATCCGCCATGCACCTCCGGCTTGTGGTGGTAGTTTTCTGACTGCTCTTCTTGACTTAAAAAATATAGAGTAGAGGAACAATGAAAAGGCCAATGATGCTACCACAAAAGGAACAAGAGATGGTCGGTGGAAGTCCATAGCTATTTGTTTAATGAAGAGTCCTTTCTAGCTCGTTTGTCTAGTCATTGATATATGGATGGGGGTTTTGTTTTGTTTTATATAGTGAATTTAGAGAAGTTACAGACTTTCTAATTATTCTGGTTCAGTGTATCCAAACAAATATGGTAAATGGAGGGTGTAAATTCCTTGTGTGGGTTTTATTCCATATTAGTACAAACACATTAAAGGAAGAGATAGGGATGAAATGGGAAAAAAGGAATTATATTTGTTTATTTGAGAATTGTTATTAGCACTCCAAAAAACTCATTCCACACTCTAAACTTTTTATATTTGAAAAGAAAAATACACTTGCGAAGAGTGTAGAATGAGATTTTTGGAGTGCCAATAACACTTCCGGTTTATTTTTGCATTTGCCATAATTGTCATTTTCTTGCAATTTGACTAGATATCCAGTATGAAATTCTTTTTAAAGAAAAAAAAAATCTGATCTGGAAGGAACTTGTTAAAGAAATGAATGATAAGGAAATTCACCAAAAATAAAAATAATAAAAAAAAATCTCCAACGCATTTACTATATTAAGGAAATTTACCAATTATGGCAATGTAGGGATAAAATGGGCATAGAAAAAAACCAAAACATATATGGACCAAAAAAATAAAAACAAAAAATCCATGTTATAATAAGAAAACAAAAACCAAAGTTTGTGCACCTTAGTCATCAAGAAAAGCACTTGAATTAGATCTAACAGTAGCACAAGGTTTTTTTATTTATTAAGATCTAGAAGCCCCTTAAAACAAATACTTAAACATGATTTAGTAACATAATTCCAGAGGTGACCAAATTAATGCAAAATGTAGTGATGCCCTCCCCGTGAGTTTATGAATACTCTAACCATCACTGCATGTAACCTGGTCCCTAAATACCAGCAAAGCAGATTTACCTTATTTACCGTACTCTTCATATACTTGAGCAGGAAGGCGCGGAGTAAGAAGGACTTCAAGTTGGGAGGTTCTATGGTTGGTAAATTCCATCGACTCATGCATGTCAACTGGCTCACCCGTCGGAGTTGCGATTTCAAATCCATGAAGCAAAGAAGCGAGTGTCAATGGCATAATCCTGAGGGCAAGTGCTATTCCGGCGCACATTCTTCTTCCACTGCCAAACGGTATCAACTCAAAATCCTGACCTTTAACATCAATGTCGCTGTGTGTTGTGAAGAATCGTTCAGGTTGAAACTCATTTGGATCGGGCCAGACCTTCGGGTCTCGATGAATCTTCCATACGTTGACGAGGACGCGAGTGTTTGCTGGGATATGGTAGCCGGCTAGAACGCAATCTTCATTGGATGCATGGGGCAATAAGGTTGGTCCGGGAGGGTATAAACGGAGCGTTTCTTTGATAACGGCTTGGAGATAGACCAAGTTGTCGACGTCTGATTCTTTTACTGCCCTCTCTCTGCCAATATTTTGGTCTATCTCTTCCCGGACCTTTTTTAGAGTTTTAGGGCTGTTGAGAAGTAGAGACAGTGCCCATGTTAATGTCCCTGTCGTCACATCTACACCTGCTAGAAGAAGACTCTGCAAGAGAAGTAACAATAGTATTTGTACAAACAAAATTTACACACTTGCTGACACACTTTCTAATAAATGAAACCCTATGCTTATAGATGAAGGGCGATAGAATTATTAGATGCATTCAATAAGGAAAATGCTGAGGAGACTACTTTTTTGTAATACATTTGTATACATTTTGATGTTGTAAATGATGCATACATGTTACGTCAATTAATAAGTTTATCTCATTAGATATTGGTTGCATGCATTAGTTGACACATAAGGATATTAAGATGATATAAACACTAATGTGTTATAAATATATCTCCATAACATTACTCATTTATTCAATCTGATGGTCATAAATAAAGATGAATGTGAAAATTTAAACAATTAAATGCTAAACCGCACAAACGTACCAGTGAGGTAGCTTTGTTGATAATGTCAGCTTCAAAAGAGTTAGTAACTTTCAAATCATCAAGAACTGAAAGCATCAAATCCATGAAGTCACGCTCCTCCTCATCACCTTTCACTCCACCAGAAACAGTCCTCTTTTTCTTCTGCTTATGCTCTTCTAACCATCCTTGAAGCACTTGATCTACCGCCTTTGCTACCTTCCTCATGGTCTTCTCATGGCCACCCAAATCCAACCACCTCAAGAACGGAAGCGCATCCGACAGTACAAAAGTAGCATTCAGTCGAAGCCAATCCTTGAATACTTTTCTCCCTATCAAGTCTCCATGGGTGTAATTTGTAGCTTCTGAAATTCGTTTCCCGATAATCATTCTAAAGACCACGTTCTGGTTTATGTCCGCAAACCAGTCTTTCATCAGTACCACCACCTTATCGGAACCACTACTCTTGTTGTTCTTCGTCCACCGATCGTATATTTCTTTCATCGATGCACTCACTTCAGATTCTCTAAAGTGTTTGAGCATCTCGACGCGGTGGGGGGATAAGACCTCCGCCATGACCATCTTCTGTACATGACTAAAGTAGTAGCCGTAAGAGCTGAAAGGAAAGAAGGCATAGTTGTAGCCCAAGATTTCTGAGGCTAAAGAGCTTACACGGCTAGCAAACACTTTGTCGTAGGTCTTTAGGCATTCTTTCGCCATTTCCGAGCTGCTCAAAACTAGGGTTCTCTTCACTCCGAACATGAAAGTGAAGATCGGTCCGTATGTGTCCGCCAATTGAGCTATCACCACATGTAGTGGCTCAGACGAACGTACTAACAAGGGTAGGTGACCGATTATCGGCCACGCACCTCCGGCTTGCGGTGGTAGTTTTCTGACTGCTTTTCTTGACTTAAAAAATATAGAGTAGAGGAACAATGAAAAGGCTAATGATGCTACCACAAAAGGTACAAGAGATGGTAGGTGGAAGTCCATAGCTATTTGTTTCATGGGGAGTCCTTTCTCGCTTGTTTGTCTAGTCAGTGATATATGGATGGGGCTTTTGTTTTGTTTTATATAGTGAATTTAGAGAAGTTACAAACTTTCTAATTATTCTGGTTCAGTGTATCCAAACAAATATATGATAAATGGAGGGTGTAAATTCTTGTGTGGGTTTTATTCCATATTAGTACAAACACATTAAAGGAAGAGATAGGGATGAAATGGGAAAAAAAGGAATTATATTTGTTTATTTGGGAATTGTTATTGACACTCCAAAAAACTCATTCTACACTCCAAACTTTCTATATTTAGAAAGAAAAATACACTTACGAATAGTGTAGAATGAGATTTTTGAAGTGCCAATACACTTCCCATTTATTTTTGCATTTACCATAATTGTCATTTTCTTGCAATTTGACTAAATATTCAGTATGAAATTCTTTTTAAAGACAAAAAAAATCTGATCTGGAAGGGACTTGTTAAAGAAATGAATGATAAGGAAATTCACCCAAAAAAAAAAAAAAAAAAAAAATCTCCCACGCATTTACTATATTAAGGAAATTTACCAATTATGGCAATGTAGGGATAAAATGGGCATAGAAAAAACCTAAAACATATATGGACCAAAACAAAAAAAATCCATGTTATAATAAGAAAACAAACACCAAAGTTGGTGTACCTTAGTCATCGAGAAAAGCACCTGAATGTAGTCGTTCATACGTGTCATGGTGAATTTAGAGAAGTTACAGGCTTTCTAATTATTCTGGTTCAGTGTATCCAAACAAATATGGTAAATGGAGGGAGTAAATTCCTTGTGTGGGGGTTTTATTCCATATTAGTACAAACGCATTAAAGGAAGAGATAGGGATGAAATGGTTTTTGCATTTACCATAATTGTCGTTTTCTTGTAATTTGACTAGATATTCAGTATGAAATTCTTTTAAAGAAAAAAAAAATTGATATGGAAGGAACTTGTTAAGGATGATAAGGAAATTCACCAAAAAAATAAAATAAAATAAAATCTCCAATGCATTTACCATATTAAGGAAATTCACCAATTTTGGCAATGCAACTTTGTTTTGGGTGTCACAACAAACAAAAAAAGGAAAAAAACAGGTGAGTTGTTTTTGTTTCCTTTTCAAGTAGAGTGATAGTGTTAGTGAATTAGATAGTTGTTATGACGGAGGAGAATTATTTGGGTGAGAATGAACACACATTAAAGTACATAGACATAAGTGATTTTCACTGCTACACTAAAGCATCATATGCAAAAAACAAAAAACTACAACTTACAGCCAAAACTACACTGCCACAATTGGTGAACGTAATATTTTCTAAATAAAGGGGCTTAGGGTTTTTGTTATTTTGATTCAATTTTTTTATAAAATAATTTATTATGTGACATATATATAAATGTCGCCACTTAGTACTATGGTCTAATGATTCCTCTTCACTTGTTAGTGAGAGGTCTTAGGTTCAATTCTTGCCAAAGGTAAAAATTAGAATCACATTATTGCTAGCCCATTATGTGGCTTAGCCCACTCCCACACCCCTTTAGTGTAAATAATATCGTTTGTTAAAAAAAACATATAAATAAACATCTATTTATATTTAAAAATAGTTATATAATTGTATTAGAAAACATAAATTATAAAGACTACAATATATTAAGGGCTCGTTTGGAAAAAAGGAGAGTTGCCTTTTTTTTTTTTTCTTTTTTCATTTTTTTTAATACAAGCGATATTACTGATTTAATTTCACTAGGAAAAGAGGAGGGTTTGAATATAGAACACGGTGATCAAAGAAAAGATCTTAACCACCGAAGCAATTCACTAGTGGTGGTTGGAGTTCTACGTCTGAGTACTCTTTCCAACCAGAGCGTTATAATTGATTGGACTATAGGCTTCTTGTTGGAAAATAAAAAGGAAAGTATTGTAGGATTTGATTTAATTAGTGAATTTATATGATTTAATTATAGTTTTGATATGATTTGATTTGGAATAGGTTTCCTTGTCTTGTAGACAAAGGAATGTTTTGATTTATTTCCTAGTATTGCTCCTTTGTAATCTTATAAATATCTCCTTATGGAGAAGAATAAATTATTAATGTAGTATTTTGAGAATTGTGAGATTGTAGAGATTCATATATTTGTCATAAATCCTTTATTTCAACTCTTCTTGCCCAAAGTATCGCTTGGATGGTGATAAACGGCCTTACTTAAAACTCTTACTTTAGAACTTACCCTAATTGGAGAGACTATACAATAATGCTCCAATTCCCTACGGGTCTCCATTGCATATATTTGAGGAAAGCTCCCACATGCTAACCAGCCATGCCTTTTCTTACATAAATAGAGGGGGCATCCTGCAGGCACAGACGAAGAATTATAAATCCATCGGAGAATTTCACTGATCAGACAAAGAATTCAGCACATAGGCCGGAGATGACCGACATCGAGACATCGGAGATGGGTTCCGGTATCAGAAGCTTGCTTGGGGAGCTTGTTAAGAACTTGTCTTGTTTCTTTCTCAACAACGTCGTCAAAGAGAAGGGAAGGGTTAACACACTAGAAACGCTCAAGAGAAGTAGTACATTGAAGAGAACGCATCGATATCACGACTTAACAGAATTGGAGAAGGAAGTTATGACTCTCGGAGAGTAGTACGGTACAAGAACAACGGATAATTTTAGCATCTCTAATGGAGTAAGCAAATGAGTAGCTAAATTTTTTTGGGAAAATTTGATGTGAGTCCAATTTTGTGAGCCTTTATGTGGTATAGTCCAATTTTGCTTGATTATTGACTTAGGTCCAATGTCTCATTGTACACATCAACTTATTTTTATTCTCTTGCCAAATTTATCCTTAAATTGACTAATTAAGTAATTAATATATTATTATTTTTTTTGTTTTTCCTTAAATAATGGCTAGACTTAGGAATTCGAAGATTCAAATTTTGAAATTCAAATTTGAGTAAATAATGCATAAATTAGGAAATTTAAATATATATTTATTTTTACTATAAAGGGCAAAACGGGAATAAGATGAGATCAATTAAACCTAAACTGGTAAGAACATCTAATTGGATTCAATCCAAAAGTAGCTGATTTTTTTGGATCTCGATCTAAATGCCCCAATTTTTTTTTATTAGCCACGTCGGCTGCAATGGAGTAGTCAATTGAGTAGGTAAACGCTTCCTACTCCCCCAAAATAGGCAACATCGCCTATTTCTACGTGTGTTAGCAAAATTAGACCCCACATATCTATTATATAAAGCATTTGATGTCAAGAGAAGAAGACAAAAATAAAAGATAAAAATAAATAACTGTGAAAGACGATAATGAATTACAATTTTGCCTACTTGATTTGCCTATTTCATTAGAGTGACACATTTTTTCATGAGCCAATTGAATATGCAACTTATTACGTCAGCTATTATATTACAATTTTGCTACGTTTGCCTACACAACTGGCCCAATTCAGTTGTAACAGAAGTCAAGGTAAAGCCACTGTTTGCAGAGGAGGACATGAAAGACATGAACATAAGAATGACTAATAAGAGGGTGATAAGAGATGAGGAAAAATAGGTAAAAACGCATAATTGGAATAGACTACTAAATCAAAAGCTCTTTTATTTTTATTACAAACGATATCACTATTATAATCCACACTAAAAGTAGAGAGAGTTTAAACTTAAAACGCAGTAAGTTCAAAAGGATGTAGCACTTTGGACACCAAGCACTCTTACCTACTGGAAATGAGGGGCCTTTGCATAAAGATTGCGAAACGTACGGTTCATATCTTGGATAAAGGATTTTGTTTCTTTTAGGCATTGTGGTTACAAATTTGTTAATTTTGATCTTCTTGTTTACTTCGATTATCAATTTTGGTCAAATGTTTGTTAATTCATCGAACTTTTAATCTCATTTAATAAGGAAAATATTCAGTGAAAAGAAAAATATTAGAAAATGATAACACAATACTGAATTATAAAACTTACACTCCTGTCTTTGCAACAATAAAACAACCAACCCTTATCCCACTAAGTGAAGTCGGCTGTATGAATTTTAAAACGTCACTGCGCTCAGTTTTGCAACAAACAGTTATTATCAAATTACCAACCTACTTCCATAGATAGTATGGAGTCAAATAAAAAGGAAGATCACAGCACAATTGATCATTGTTGACAATAATAATATGGAGGAAGTCAATGAACCACTTGACTCACAAATATGCGATCTGGAGCCTCTGCCTCTTCTCTGATAAATTCAAGCCCATAGATCCCTTCCACTGGAGGAAATTACACAGAATTATCGCCATTCATTGGTTGGTCAAGGTCACCTAGCTCCAAAAAATGATTCGCAGAATCATCATGCCCGCCAGAGAAATTGTATCCGTCTAGGTTGTTGCCCAAGTCTTCTAAATTTTCATACATATTGCTTGTATTCAGCTGAGGTATAGCTTGAGCGTTGTTGCCAAAATCAATGAAATTATCCAGTTCCTTCAAGCAAGAAGCAAACCCATGAAAAAAAGTTAAGACAACACTTGCAAGATAATGTGCGCGTATAAATCTACTTATACAAATCTTATGCTTGTAGCAACAGATATCCACACATGTATGCAAGAAAATTTAAAAGGCTAAAAGTATATAACAGTAAGCCAACAATGGTATATATTGGCAGTTTCAATGTACAAATGTCTTTTGAAGCATGAGTTTCAAACCAATATATACCATTGTTGGCTAAGTTAAACAGTAGCATACCATTACTCGTTGGAAAGCAAAGAAAGAAGGATCAAGAAAACATGACAAGAACGAAGCTCCTAATCAGTCAGCAGAGGATAACAAAGAAGGAAAAACAGTAGCAAAAAGAGGATCACCAAACATATATAAAATAAGCATCAGATAAAAAAAAAGGAAACAAACTATTTGACTGCATTTGCAAATATGTATTGGTAATGATTCCACAATTCAAACAAAAAATAACAGAAAAAGGAAACAAAAGGCTTCCAA